ACTGGTCAGAGGGGATTACAGGCACACTGGTCAGAGGGGATTACAGGAAGACTGGTCAGAGGGGATACAGATAGGCTGGTTGAGCATTCAATCTGATCATTTGACTGTGCCTCATGCCAAAATAATGAAAAATCAGTTTAACCTAATTAATCAATATCTTTTAAAAAAAACTGATTTTGAACTTTTTACTTGTTTTCCTATCTTGATGCTAGCAGCAGGGTGAGAACACTGCTACCATCTCCTTCATGTACACTCCAGGATTGAGAGTACTGTCTGGGCCACATGCCGCTGAATCTCAATTTTACATCGTCATTGTGTTCATTGTTCACTCTCCCACTGAGACTGGGACTGAGGAGGTGGCATATTCACTTCAAATATAAGAACTGAAGTTGTAAGTGTGTTCTCTCATCCAGAATATGCGCTGTGATGTAGCAGAGAGCTGGGAATGTCCCAGCATTGAACCTAATGATTGCACTGCTGCTGATACCCTGCCTCGTACCAAGACCAGTTCATCCATCCCACCCCGAGCTTTGATCTATGCTGGCTCCTTTTCATCAGAACCTCTAATTTAATCGTCCCATGACCTCACCCGTCCCTACCTCAAACCTCACAACCCTCCACGATCTCTGCCCACCTCCGATTCTGGCCCCTGGCGTACCCCTAATTTTCTCTGCTCCTCCTGCAAGAATTGTGCCTTCAACAACAGCGATAATAATAGAAACAAAGTCCCTGTGTAATACCCCCTCAATGCAGCGAAACATCCCTAGACACTTTATCAACTTTGACACCAACCCATATAGCCTGTGCCACCAAGCTGGGGTGGCATGGTGACTCAGTGGTTAGCAAAGAACATAGAACATAGAACAGTACAGCACAGAACTGGCCCTTCAGCCCACAATGGTGTGCTGACCTATTATCTTACTCTAAGATCAAACTACCCTGCATACCCTACATTTTACCACTATCCATGTAGCACTGCTGCCTCACGGCACCAGGGACCCGGTTTGGCCCCAGCCTCAGATGGTTATCTGTGTGGAGTTTGCGCATTCTCCTCATGTCTGTGTGGGTTCCTCCAGGTGATCTGGTTTCCTCCAACAGTCCAAAGATGCGCAGGTTAGGTGGGTTGGCCATACTAAATAGCTCATAGTGTCCAGGGATGTGCAGGCTAGATGGGTTAGCCATAGGAATTACAGGGATAGGGTGGGGTTCTGGGTGGGATGCTCTTCAGAGGGTCAGTGCAGGCTCGATGGGCCAAATTGCCAGCAACCACACTGTGGGAACTCTACGATAAGAAGAAACGAGGGCAGATGAGCAAATATTTGGCCAGAGGGGTAAGCTGTAAGTATATTAAAGAAGTAGAGGGACAGAGAAGTTCAAAAAAAGGAATTCCAGAGCTTAAGCTGTAGTGACAGGGCTGCTAATAGAGAAGCAATGGAATTATTAAATGTGAAATTGTCCAGGCATTAAGGAATCATTCCTTCACACAAGAGGCACTGGAAGTCTGGAGCTCTCTCTCCCAAAATATTAGCTGGAATTTGGGCTCAAATGAAAATTTCAAAGACGGGATTGACTGATTTTTGATGGCAAAGGTATTTGGGAATATCGAGCTATAGTGAGCAAAGAGGGTCACAGTACAGATCAGCCACAATCTAATGTAATGGTGGATATAGCTAAAGAGGCTGAAAGACCCAAATCTGTCTCTATCTATCTAACATAATTACATGAAGACAGATGTTTCAAACGCAAGAGGAGGAGACTGTACACTTGCTTTAACCACAAATAACACTTTTATTCAGTTGAAATGAGATTTGCATCCCTGCTCATTAAAGTTTGGCTCAGTTTTCTGAAAAATGTTAACATTAGACCTAGGTTTACTTGCAGCTCCGTGGAAGAATGTAGGCAATTCAACACAGAGGCAAGTGCTAGCAGGTAAGGAAATATAAACCATGAGAAGGTAACAAAGAAAATACTATTTTCACACCTCGACTAGTTGAGTTAGAGAAACAGACACAGGGACTTAGAGTGAGAGGATCAGAGGGAGAGGGTGAGAGGGAGAATGTCCGAGAGAGAGAGTCCGAGGGAGTAGATTGAGGGGAGAGGAAGGATAGATTTAAGGGGAGGGTGGAAAGGAGAGCGTTGGAGGGAGAGGGTGAAGGGGAGGATTGGAGGTGGAGGATTGGAGGAAAGTGTCAGTGGGAGGCAGCTGTATGGAGTGGGTGGAAGAGGTCGGGTTTGTAATAGGATAAACAAACACATGGTCTCAACTATTGGACTGTACTAATGTCAAAAACATGGAACTCCTGCTCTAAAAGCATTGTGGGTGTGACATGGACTGTAATTGTTCAAGAAGGCAGCTCACCACCACCTTCTCAAGGGCAACAAGAGACGGGCAGTAAATGGTTTGGCTCAGACAGGGATGTACAAATCCCTTGAATGTACTTAAACTGTAAAAATTGTCAGAAATAAAAAGATCGACATTCCAATTCTGATCGAATTTGCCTTCCATTATCCTGGTAGTCACATGATACAACAATAATATAGTTATTGGTTGATTGAGTCAATCAGCCTTTTCTCATTTATTCACAGGACACTGGCATCCCTGGTGGGGCTAGCGTTTATTGCCCATCCCTAACTGCTGCATAGAAAGTAGTGGTGAGCTGCCTTCTTGAACTGGTCCAGTATATGTGTTGTGGCCCCAAATGCTGGGAGGCAATGGCCTAGCGGTATTATTTGCAGGTCTGTTAATACAAAGACCCAGATAATGTTCTTGGGACCTGGGTTCAAATCCTGCCATGGCAGATGGCGGGATTTGAATTCAATAAATATCTGGAATTAAGAATCTAATGATAACTGTGAATCCATGGTCAAATGTTGGGAAAAACCAATCTAGTTCACTAATGTCCTTTAGGGAAGGAAACTGCCATCTTTACCTGGTCTGGCCTACATGTGACTCCAGACCCACTGCAATGTGGTTGACTCTTAACTGCCCTCTGGGCAATTAGGGACGGGCAATAAATGCTGCCTAGCCAGCGATGCCCTCATCCCATGAATGAATTTTTTAAAATGCCCATAGGGAGGGAATTCTAGGATTTTGACCCAGTGACAATGAAGGAACAGTGATATATTTCCAAGTCAGGACAGTATTTAGATTCAAGCATTTTAGAAATTGAGCTCCCTGGAAAAGATGGACCCTCATCATAGTAGCTCAATGGTTTATGTTCATGGGTGTAGCTGAGAGCAGGAAAGTCTGTCACCTGCAGCCTTCTCACAGAAAAACATCCAATGGAAGCAAACAACAGAGATATTTTCAATGCCTAACCTTCACACTGAATGCCTGTGTCTCATGTTTAACAGAGACTTGGGTAACTCTTTCCACTGCAGAAATCCAAAGGACCCATTGTTGAGCTTACCTGACACGCCACACACTCTATTTTCTTCAGGACTCTTGTTCTTTGACCTCTCCATCAATTCATCCAACCAGTGGGACTCCAATCCTTTTGTTTCTGGAGCATGCCGTTTGTAAATAACATGGGGCTGTGATCTATCTTCATCCCAGGGTTGTCCCTCCAACGGTTCAATGAAGTAATCCTCATCTGACAATCGGAATACACCTTTCTGAAAAAGCAAATGAAGAGGTTCAGTGAATTTCTTCTCCTTTATGAGGCATCTTGTCACAGAACCAGCTTAAAGTGCAGACACTGATATGGTGTAAATAATACATACAGAAGCACCCCATAAACAGCAACAAGCATTTAATTTTCTTTCGGTGTTGATTGAGGAAGAAATGATGGGTGAGGGATACCAGGAGACTTTAGGGACACACACAGCAGGTTTTATTGGTTATTGTGTTACTTTTAGGATTCACATCAAGTTATTCATCCACCAGCCCACCCTGTGCTTACTGACTGACAGTGGCATAGGCTGGCAGTGCCTCAAGTTTAACATTTTCATCCTTTATCCCATATCGCTCCATGGTTATGCCCCTACCTATCTCTGTAATCTCCTCCAACCCAAAAGGTGACACTAGCATTGTAAAGATGAACGGGTTAGTACCAAATTAGAGCTGAGACACTTACAGGAATTTAACTGGCACCTGGAGGAATTTAAATTCAATTAAATTCCTAAATCTGGAATATAATCCTACTCTCACAAATAACTAAATTACTAGTTTGTCACACAAACCCACCTGGTTCACTAATGTCCAGTAGGGGCAGAAATCTGCTGTTTTTGACCTGGCCTGGCCTAAGTGTGACTACAAACCCACAACAATATGGGTGACTTTAAACTGCCCTCTAAAATGTCCTAGCAAAGTACTCAGTTGTAAGTGGTTCACCAGTATCTGTTCAAGGGCAATTAGGGAGGGGCAACAAATGGGCACCTTATCAAACATACTCACATGCCAAGTACAAATTTTGAAAACATAAGAACATAAGAACCAGGAGCAGGAGTAGGCCATCCGGCCCCTCGAGCCCCCTTCACCATCAATAAGATCATGGCTGATCTTTTTGTGGCCTCAGCTCCACCTGCCCACCCTCTCACCATAACCCTTAATTCCTTTACTGTTCAAAAAATTATCCATTTTAGCTTTAAAAACATTCAATGAGGAAGCCTCAACTTCACTGGGCAGGGAATTCCACAGATTCACAACCCTTTGGGTGAAGAAGTTCCTCCTCAAATCAGTCCTAAATCTGGTCCCCCTACTTTCGAGGCTATGCCCTCTTGGCCTAGTTTCACCTGCCAGTGGAAACAATCTCCCTGCTTCTATCTTATCTATTTCCTTCATAATTTTATATGTTTCTATAAGATACCCCTTCATTCTCCTAAATTCCTAGTGAACCTCTTCTGCACCCCCTCCAGTGCCAGTACATCCTTTCTCAAGTAAGGAGACCAAAACTGCACACTGTACTCCAGGTATGGCCTCAGCAGCACCCTATACAGCTTCAGCATAACCCCCCTGCTTTTAAACTCAATCCCTCTAGCAATGAAGGACAAAATTCCATTTACCCGCTTAATTAGCTGTTGTACCTGCAAACCAACCTGCAATTCATGAACAAGGACACCCAGGTCCCTCTGCGTGACACCCAGGTCCCTCTGCAAAGCAGCATGCTGCAATTATTTACCTTTCAAGTAATAGTCCCTTTTACTGTTATTCCTACCAAAATGGACGACTTTACATTTATCAACATTGTACTCCATCTGCCAGACCTTTGCCCACTCACTTAAACTATCTATATCCCTCTGCAAACTTTCAGTCCCCTACACACTTTGCTCTACCACTCATCTTAGTGTCATCCACAAACTTTGACACACAAATGGATTCAACCTTATTCTGCATAGAACATATACCATCTCTCACTACCACCCTGATGTCATTCTTAAATACCAGAGCTACACCACCCCATTACCTTCCTGTTTGTCCTTCCAAATAGTCTAATATCCCTGGATGTTTAATTCCCAATTGTGACCATCCTGCAACCATCTCTATAATGGCTACTAAATCATACTCATTCGTGATGATTTGTACCATTAACGCATCTACTCTTCAAGATCTCTGTGCTTTTGTGTATCCCTGAGTTTATCACGCAGCAATATCTTCAGCTGCCTGGGCCACAAGCTGTGGAATCCCCTCTCAAAGTCTCTTCATTTAAGTTGCTCCTCAAAACCAAGTCTTTCACAAAATTTTTGATCATCTGTCCGAATACCAGCTCATGTGGTGTTGAGTATTTTTTGGATTCACTACATCTACAGCATTAAAATCATCCTTTGCAAGATATTTTCTACAAGATGGATGGAACTTGTGTAGTCTAGTTAATACTCATACCTCAAGGCAGGGTAATGGATGCTTTGGGTTATGTGAACTGAGAGTTGTCATTGGACAGGTAAGGGAACTCTGAAAGGTTGCCTGAATAGTGTTGATGGGGAATGTTTATGAGTGAGTCTCTAATCTGGTTCTGTTAAAGCATAATGTTGTTTCAACATAGTAATAACAACAGTTAAATGTAAAGGAATTGGGTTTGACCTGTTTTGAGCACTTTTTGATGTCCATATAGATGAAGCATTAAGTTTAAAAGAGCAGATTATTCACAGGACGGAAATCCTTCCTAAGCATCCAAATGAACAATGACTTACCATCTGACATTTTTAAGAGAAATTCAGTTTAATTTGCAAATGAGTCTTGTTTCACTGTACCTTCAAGATAGTTGGAATGGGTGTCTGTGGCTGAATTTAACTCAGAAGTCACTTAATAGGCACTAGACAATCTAGCCTTGTCTGATTCTGTTTTAGCATGGAGCAAGTGAAAATATCATAAGTAAAGAATACAGAGATACTGGAGAAAGTATAAACAAAGGATTTCCAAGGACACTGTCATAACTGAGAGGTTATATCTATCAGCTACAACTGTGTTATTTGCCCAGATAATCACAGCTGGCACCATGTAGTGCTTGCTATCTCCTCCAGCCTGTGGTACTGGGTTACGCGGTGTTTGAAATAATTTGCCATTACCACCTTCACCTGGATTTTGACTTGGGTCTATCCAGTGATTAATGATAGAGAATACACCACCAAAGTGTATCTACAGAAGAGGTCCTGCTGTTAGATAACAGGAAGCATCATAACAATAATTACACAGAAGCTGCACTCCAGAGGTGAGGCGAGAGTGACTGCTCTTAACATCCACACCATTTTTGACCAAGTGTGGCATCAAGGAGCCCTGGCAAAACTGGAATCAAATTGGAATCAGGAGACAATGCTCCACTGGTTGGAGTCATACTTATTGCATAGGAAGATGGTTATGGTTGTTGGAGGTCAGTCATCTCAGCTCCAGGACATCTCTGCGGGAGTTGCTCAGGGTAATGCCCTAGACCCAACCATCTTCAGCTGCTTCATCAATGACCTTCCCTCCATCATAAGGTCAGAAGTGGGGATACTTGCTGATAATTGCGAACAGTCCATATCTAAATACAGCAAGACTTGGACAATATTCAGATTTGAGCTGTCAAGTGGCAAGAAACCTGCTCTCCTTACAAGTGTCAGGCAATGACTATCTCCAACATGAGAGAATCTAATCATCACTGTTTGACAGACAATGGTATTTTAATTATTGAATACCCTAATTTCAATATCCTGAGGGTTACCATTGACCAGTAGCTGAACTGGGCTAAGCATATAAATACAATGACTACAACAGCATGTCAGAGATTAGGAATTCTACAGTGAGTAACTCGACTCAACTCCCAAGAGCCTGTCTGCCATCCAAAAGACACAAGTCAAGTGTGTGATGGAATACTCCCCAATTGATTGGATCAGTGCAGCTCCAACAACAATTAAAAAGCTTGACACTATCCAAGACAAAGCAGTCCATTTGATTGGCACCACATCCACTTCATCCACTACTGAGGCTCAGCAGAAGCAATGAGTACTATCTACAAGATGCACTGCAGAAGTTCATCAAGGCTCCCTATAGACAGCACCTCCCAAACCCATGACCACTTCCAGCTAGAAGGACAAGGGCAGCAGATACATGGGAAAACCACCATCTGTAAGTTCCCCTTCAAGCCACTCACCATCCTGACTTGGAAATATATCTCCATTCCTTCAGGATCACTGGGTCAAAATCCTGGAATTCCCCTCTAACAGTATTGTGGGTCAACCTACAGCACACAGACTGCAGTGGTTCAAGAAGGCAGCTCACCACTACCTTCTCAAGGGCAATTAAGGATGGACAAAAATGTTAACACAGCCATCAAAGCTCATATCCTCCAGATTAATTTTGAAAAGTTGTATTTAGTCAGGGATAATTATTGCTACTACTTGATGGACAGGTACCAATGTAATGGTAACGTAATTGGACCAGTAATCCAGAGGCCCAGGTAAATAATCTAGGATGTGGGTTCAAATCCCATCCTAGCAGCTGAATCTGAATTCAACAAAAGGCTAATGGAACCAGTGTCAATTTTCATAAAACCAATCTGGTATATTATTCCCTTTTCAGAAGGAAATCTGCCATCCTTACCCATAGCAACATGGTTAACTCTTAAGTGACCCTGGGCATGATGCCCACTTCCGTGTATAAAAATAAATAAATAACAAGGACTTAAAGGAGCTGATCAACATATATCTGCCTTCTTGGGAAGCTAGAGCAGAACTCCTCCACCTCCTGCAACAGACAGTGTGTGACATCAGTAAATTGGGTGAAGCCATTGTAAAAAGAAAATTAACCCTTTCAGAACCCTTACCTTGTGCAAGAACAGGACAGGCTTGACTCTCTTTAGAAAAGAAGTGACTGAACTGATACAAATCTGTAAAATTATTAAAGGATTCAATAGAAGAGAAAATTTTTCCAACCTGCGGGGACATGTGAACTAAAGACCTTTAAGCCACTAGTAAATGCAATAACAATTCAACAGACACATTTTGACTGAGAGTGCAGTTAATGTGAAAGTTGCTACCACAACGAAAAACAGAGATGAACAGCACAGCCGACCCTATTGGATAGCTAGATAAAAATACAAGAGGAGAAAAGAGTGTAGTGAATGGGTAAGAAGAAGCAGAACGAGAGGAGTCTCAGTTGGAGCATAAACACGTATGTGGATCAAATGGCCTGATTGGGCTGG